ACTTCCTGATAGTAAAGAATTACAATAGTCCAGCCTTGAAGTAACAAATGCATGGACTAGTTTCTCAGCATCACCCCTGGACAGGAGATTTCTGAAACTCCAGTGAGGACCTTCCTTATTTGGCACTGAACAACAAGCAGTTGTTCTCTGTGATGTTGGGATTCAGGCTCTGTGTTTTTAGGTGCGCTGAACATGTTAGAACAATGTTATCTTCTGGATTGTTCTGAATTTTTCCCCCTGGTGTTTCTCTGTGTAAACCTTCCCATCTATTGCATGCAGGATACATGCATTCACCTCTGAATGATATCAGTCATTAATAAAGAAAACACAGTGAGGAAAATAAGTTGGCTATTAGAACACCCTGTTATTTTGCCCTTAGAGATGATGGAGAGTCTGAAATCGTGGTCCATGCCCACTGTGACAGACACAATAATAGAAGAAAAATAATCCATAACTCACAACATTTGATCTCTTATTTATTTGTGTGATTCAGCCTTTGTCTCCAGAGGTCAAAGGTTTCCTGTAGTTTTTCAGCAGGTTTGCTCACACTGCAGGAGGGAATTTGGCCCACTCCTCCACACAGATCTTTTCTGGATCAGTCAGCTTTCTGGGCTGTCGCTGAGTTTGAGCTCCCTCCAAAGATTCTCTATTGGGTTTAGGTCTGGAGACTGGCTAGGCCACGCCAATTCTCTAATTTAGGAAAGGAGGTTGTTCCCTAAAGTCTCCCAATACATGGCCCCGGTCATCCTCTCCTTCATACGGTGCAGTCAAGTTAATTCCAGGACTTTATTTCTGCAGAAGAGAGTAAATCACAAATGTATCCCTGGTCACCTTTCCATGCAGATTAAATTCACAAAAACTTGATGGATCAAAAATATTGAAAATATGATGCAGTTTAATCTCTGTTATACTACCACCTCCATGCCTCACAGTAGGGAAGGTGTTCTTGGGATGGTTCTCATCATTCTTCTTCCTCTAAACATGGTTAGTGTTAAAGAACAATTCAAAAAAGATGGAAGGAAAAACCTGATCAACAATGAATAAACTTTTTTTATTTAGACAGCATCAGACTGTAGAGATAATAATTAAGAATCTAATGTATGACAGTGATGAACGGGCTCCAAAAGGTCAAAATGAAAACAGAACATGGGAGGAGCTAATGCTCATAAGAAATAAGGAAAATGGTGAAGACAGAATAAAAAACAGAACCCAGCGCCTCTAGATCATGACTGAGTCATTTTTCATCCACTGATGCATCTGTAGCTTGGACTAGGAGGCCTGCATCTAGTAGACCTGGATCTAGGAGGCCTGAAGGTAGGAAGCTTGGATCTAGGAGGCCTGAATCTAGGAGACCTGGATCTAGGAGGCCTGGATCTAGGAGACCTGGATCTAGGAGGCCTGGATCTAGGAGGCCTGGATCTAGGAGGCCTGGATCTAGGAGCTGTCACAGTCTCCATTAAGTTACATCCCAAAGCAAACAGAAACACTATAGTCAAAGAAATGGATGATTTGCTGAGCCTGACATTCTTTAGTCCACCATCTTGGATGAATCTACTTGCAGAGATAGTCACCGAACAGGAAGCCCATGTTAATTCCCCGCATGCTTCCCTCTGCCAAACATCATAATGAGCTCTGTTAACATTTCTAATAAAACAGGTCGTAACAGACGTACCGATGATGGAGCACATTCCTGCCTTCATTCCCACTGCAAAACGTTTAATGGCAGCTAACAGGCTGAGGACTGACAGGCATGAGTAAAGCTATGATCCAGAGAAATGTTTCACTCCCACACCCTTCCTGTTGTTTGTGGTTTCATTTGACTCACTTTCTTCTTCACTGGCCAACAGCAAAGATGAACTTCCCAGGATTTTGGCACCGTGTGAAGATGAGTCACCCTAGCAGGTGTTGTCTGGGACAGGAATAGGACTGAAGGATGAGAAGGTGTCAGAGCTGGAAGGTAGAGACAGACTGATTTAGTAGGTTCTGGGCATGTGAGGAGGAGCATGTTAACCAAAGCTAAGTCAGCAAAGAGGATCCATCGTTCATGTCGACACACGAATCCAAAACATCCTTATTTTCACCTGGATTCTCTGATCTATCTACGGTCCTGCAGGGAGAGCTTTCCTTACGAAGCTGCAGTGGATGATGAAGTTTGCCGGGTGGCTGTTCAGGATGGTGATACTGAAAACATAAAAGGTTTAAATAAACCTTCGATAATAGATCAGAATTATCCTTCACTGACAGAATCCAAACCTTTGAAATAACATCTGCTGTTAATGGAGGCAATATAAGAGCTGAACTCATTGAACAGCTAGTCTGAAGCAGCGGCAGCTGGCCAATAGAGGGCGCCACCCACCCAATGACCTTGATTAAGACATAAAAAAAACAAATAAACATTAAATTACAAAATTAAGATATCATTAATTCTCCTCCAGTCAAACCAGTCAAACTTTCTCTCCCAGGACTCCTGGAGTTCTCAGCAGAAACCTCACTAAATCCAGGAAGAGCCGCAAATCAGGAAACACTTTTTACTTTTACATTCCGGGTTAATGCCCTCAGTGTGTGACTGCTCTCTGACTACTGAACCAGAAAAAGCAGCATCAGAACCAACAGCACCAAAGTCTCTGGTATCCAAACTAGCAGCTTCAGGGCCATCAGAAACTGACCCAGCAGAAAATGAAGCATCAGCGCCTGAAATATCAGTTCCTGGATCATCAGGACCTGGAAGAGCATTAGCAGAACCAGCCTGTGTTACAGTGATAATTATAAAAATATTGTGTGGACATATGAAACATTGAAAGAAAGAAGATGCTACATTTCTATCCTGTGATTCAATCAGAAGGATCATAAACTTTTATGACCTGCATCCAGTAGGTCAGGAGGCAGAGTCACACGGTTGTGCGACTTCCATCCAGCCAGATGGTCATTTCATCTTATGTCCTGCATCCTCCCAGATAATCATTACTGGGTCTTCTGTTTAAGGCCCGCCCTATATTTTTGTAAACTGTTAATAAAAGGCTTTGCTGTGAAGGGATCTGAGAGAAACGGTGCTGGTTTCTGAGCCAGCAGCTTCTCTCCCCTACTGCAGAGGCTGACGTTATAAATCCATGTCTGTGTTTGATCATTTCCTCTTAATCTTTTAAACTCACATTTCTCTGCATTAAAACCCAACAGTGTGTTTCCCTGTTGATGTGGTCTCACTGTTTTTAGTCTCAGCATTTAGTTTTTGTGGACAGGAATGGACCATCTGTCCCTCCATTTCACAGCTAAAACATTTAGTTTTTTCTCTAAATTTCATGATCAAATTTAGCCCCTCGGTTATTATTCAGAACCATAAAAACCTGCCTTCTAAAGGAAACAAAATG